TTTTTTTTTTTTTAAATTTTTTTTCAATGTTTATTTATTTTTGGGACAGAGAGAGACAGAGCATGAACGGGGGAGGGGCAGAGAGAGAGGGAGACACAGAATCGGAAACAGGCTCCAGGCTCCGAGCCATCAGCCCAGAGCCCGACGCGGGGCTCGAACTCACGGACCGCGAGATCGTGACCTGGCTGAAGTCAGACGCCTAACCGACTGCGCCACCCAGGCGCCCCATAGAGCATTTTTAAGTCAAACCCTGACTCACTGAAATGGAGTCTTAAAGTACATCTGCAGAATAATGTCGAGTGCACGGTTTTAAGAGATGAATGGGGTGCCTGACCAGGTGTCTGGGCCACAAGACCATGTCTTAAGTGAGAGAGTGTGTAAAGGGAGGCCCTTCTAGTGTTTCCAGCAGACTCTTCTGAATAAATCCAAGATAAAAATGCATTTGTCTGAGATCATACAAAAACTGATGGTAATAGACCACGAAGTTGTGGTGTGGATATTCTGATCAGATCTGGGGAGGAGTCTGAGCACAACAGATCCCAGACTTGGCTGCCTGTCATGCGAGCTGGGAAGCTTTTAAACTCCAATAGGGGAAGGGGGTTGACAAAAGATCTGGCAATCTTCTCTGTGAATACAACTTTTAAGACACCAGAGACTTTATCTTCTTTTGGTTCTGCTTCCGATGATAATAGCCCTAGAGACGGGGTCTTTCTTCTAACAAATTATTACAAAACATAAAACCTTTCAAGATATGTAACAATAGTTTATGCATTCAACTGTGACCTTTCAATTCAAAGAAACTCTTAGTAGAAGCATCAGATTTTCAATTAAAGATGTACTGTAAAAGACACAGTTTTAAAATTTTAAATGGTTCTGAAGTTTTTTTTTTTTTAAATTTTTTTTCAACGTTTTTATTTATTTTTGGGACAGAGAGAGACAGAGCATGAACGGGGGAGGGGCAGAGAGAGAGGGAGACACAGAATCGGAAACAGGCTCCAGGCTCTGAGCCATCAGCCCAGAGCCCGACGCGGGGCTCGAACTCATGGACCGCGAGATCGTGACCTGGCTGAAGTCGGACGCTTAACCGACTGCGCCACCCAGGCGCCCCTGAAGTTTGTTTTTTAAAATCACTTGGTACCATATCAAACGTAATCGCTGCCCTAACGATTCCTAAACTGGGATCAAGAAGCCAAGAAAACAGAAAATGTGTTGTAATTGAGCAGTGAAATGTTACTATACGTAATGTCATGCGTTATATTAGTTTCCTGACTTTAATGCCGTTTATCATTTACATAAAATCAGCTTTCTACTTAAGCATCTGTTGATCTTTAAAAGAAAAAAAAGTATCACCGTGAATCACCGGGCACTGAGTAAGTCTGTAAGACAGACAGTAAAGATAACTAACTTGCCCTTACATAAGGTGACTTCAGGTCTGATAAAGGTGGGAGGGTCAGGGGGCTTTGGCTAGGGTGGTCCAAAGAGACTCTTAGAAGAAAGTTATGTGTGTTAAGATCTGAATGATGAGGAGGGAGCCATGGGAGGAGCAAGGAAAAGGGGGAAAGAACAGCAGAAACACAGAGAGCAACGAGCTTTCCAAGTCTGAGCCAGAAAGCAAGCCAGCCTGGTGGGCTGTGATGAGGGAGTAGGGGAACGGAGAAAGATGACGTTGTAAAGTCCAAGGCAGGAAGGATGTTATTCTGGGTAGAGTGGGAAGGGAGAAGGGGGGTTATGAAGCAGGAATGACTCGACCAGCTTACTTTTCTGCTTTCCTTAAGTCCTATTTGCATTACACTTGCATTTTTATTTATTTATTTTAATTTTAATGTTTATTTATTTTTGAGACAGACAGAGACAGGATGCGAGTGGGTTAGGGGCAGAGAGAGAGACAGAGAGAGAGAGAGAGAGAGAGACAGAGTCCGAAGCAGGCTCCAGGTTCCAAGCTATCAGCACAGAGCTCGACGCGGGGCTCGAAATTACCAGCTGTGACATCATGACCTGAGTCGAAGTCGGACGCTCAACCGACTGAGCCGCCCAGGTGCCCCAAATTACACTTGTATTTTTTTTTTTTTTTTAAATTTTTTTTTTTCAATGTTTATTTATTTTTTTTGGGACAGAGAGAGACAGAGCATGAACGGGGGAGGGTCAGAGAGAGAGGGAGACACAGAATCGGAAACAGGCTCCAGGCTCCGAGCCATCAGCCCAGAGCCTGACGCGGGGCTCGAACTCACGGACCGCGAGATCGTGACCTGGCTGAAGTCGGACGCTTAACCGACTGCGCCACCCAGGCGCCCCTACACTTGTATTTTTAAAAGCAAAGATGTTCTGTCCAATGCACTACCTATTTCTAAATCAAATTCTAAGAGCTGTTCACTATATTGGACATTTACTTCTAGGGCAAAGAAAACTTTTGTTCACATAGAAACATATTTAAAAAGCAAATAGCAGAACATAACCACCCGTACCAGACATCAGGATTAATCCCACAATCGTTAAGTGTCACTATTCCAGTAATAAGCACACGTAGTGGTATAATCCAACTCCTATAATCTAACAAAAAGGATAATCCAACAAAATTTTGTCGGATGGCAGGAGTTTAAACATAGTCACTCCTCACTTAAATACACATCCCGAACAGCAATGAAGTTTTTAATGAAAATCACAAGGAAGGCCTACCACTCAATGATTCAGCTTCTTCTGCTTAACACAAGTTCCGCTTGAATGTTTTGTCTTCTCTCCTCTACTGCCGTTCCTTCCTCTCCAACAGTCTCTACACAACCAGACAAGGGCCCGCTCCTGTCTTCATCCCTGCGAGACCGGATGTCCACTCTCAAGAATTTCAACGATCGCTTGTCCAGACTTTCAATCTTCTCTCACTAGCCTCTAGATTTCGATCATAAGTTCCAGTCTACTACTTCCAATTTCCTATGACACAGTTAAAACTCATCAGCCAAATAAGCCCCCCCCCCTTTTTTTAATGTTTAGTCTATTTTTGAGAGAGAGAGACAGACAGACAGACAGCATGAATGGGGAGGGGCAGAGAGAGAAGGAGACACAGAACCCAAAACAAGCTCCAGGCTCCGAGTTGTCAGCACAGAGCCCGACGTGGGGCTTAACCCCACAAACCGCAAGATCATGACCTGAGACGAAGTCAGCGCTTGACCAACTGAGCCACCCAGGCACCCCCCCAAATAAGCCTTTTTTGTTCCAAAACCAAATCCATTTTCTTTCCAAGTCAATGTCCCTCTTCCAAATTCTGCTTGTTTATGGCACTGTCCCAGCCATCAGACTCAAATCCAGAAACCTATTTATTCTGTTTGAGTCCTCTTCACATCCCCACCATGCAGTGGGGAGCAGCGACTCTCAAGGACCAGATACGCCCCTTTCCTCACCCGCCTCCTCCACCGGGGCAGCTTCCCGGCTGTCTCTTCATGCCAGCTACTTGTCCTCTCCTCTAAGACCGCTGCTCACCCCATCTCATCCCCAACAGCCAAATTAATCTTCCTAGGCTAATACCCTAATTGTACTACACCACTGTTAGGTATCTACGCAATCCATCTCAGGGGTCTCTGGGAAAATTAACGTGTGTGCTTCCAAGTATTTTGTGAACAGCGTAAACGTGACCCTCGGAGGTTTGTTGGTGGACTTCAGTTCCTCCAAACCTAGAAAAGCAGAGCTACGAGACCAGTGCAGTCCCAAAGCCCTGGGAGTGGTCCAAGGCTTATCAACCGATTGGAAATAAAGTTTCACCTTCAAGGGTAATCCCCACCCATTCTCTCAAACTGCTCTCTGGGTTGGTTTATAAACATAGAAAGGCTCTCATTATCCCACCAATACTGAACTTGGTGCTGTCACACTGGCTTTCTAAACCTCTTCATTTACCAAAGACAAAGGAATAAACCCCACACATCAGGCCCATGTGCAGACAGGCAGACACGGAGGAGGCCGTAAAGTTTAAAAAAAAAAAAGTTTTAAAACTGAAAGTACATTTGAAAATGCTTGTCCCACAGAATGGTTATTTCAAATGTTCTTTTGCAAGACTAATATCAGTGTTTAAATTCCTCCAAAATAATGGCTTCCTCTCTAATTTTCCAGATAACTAACTGACATTATTTCTGTGAAAAACATCCTAAATAAGTAACTTTCCTTCAGGTATCTATTAAGTAGTAAACACAGCATCTGAGAGTTCGTTGCCACCAAAAAAAAAAAAAAAAAAAAAAAAAAAAAAAAAAAATTAGAATGTTTCTCTGATTTCAAAGTCATAGCCTTTCCAAAACATCTTTCTGAATGAACAAAACTCTATTCACCAAAGTGAATATTCAATGCATATCCTATCAATGAGGAAAATAAACTACTTCTGTTTCTAAAACAATTCTTCTACACAGTGGTACTTACCCTTTTTTTGTATAAAAATCCTAAGTAGTGGGTTGGCCGTTGAAACAGCTTTGTGATAATTATCGTCATTGTTTATAGGTAGTAAGTCTCCATGGATGTCCGCATAGCCTACTAAAACGTCAACATTGGGTATCTTATGAACATGTTGCAGTAATCCATAAAACTCCTCAAATTTTCCAGGTTTGGATCTTTCCAGTGAAAACCGACGAAATTCAGCTCCAAACTATAAATACAATGAACACATTAATTAAAAACAAAATAAGTAACAGGACCCGATTTGAAAATGCACGCCACAGGAAAATTAACAGGCATGGTACTTCCCTTAATAAACAAGATAGTGGCAGTGACACAGTCCTTAGTCTGAACCCTCACTATCTGGAGATAAAACAGCATAAGAAAGGCACAGGAATGTGCCTTCTCACCGCTGCATCTCTGAGGGGCACTCCCTTCAGGAGATGCAGGCTCACTTCAACCCCTGGGGTACGCAGGCCTCACTGGGGACTGTCCTGCAACGGTGACTCAGCTCAAACCGGTCTGGAGCCCAGATCTCGACCGGCAGTACTCTCCCCACTCAGGCCGTGCGGTAACAAAGATGCGCCCAAGTCTTTATTTTGGCCATTAGCAAAAAGTACCTAAGTTTCTTCCCTTATAAAAGGGATTATGACTTCGCAGGAAGTGGCAAGAATTAACAGCAACATATAAAAAAGGGGCTTTGAGTTTCTTGGCATTAAGCTACCATACAAATAGAGGTATATAAGAAATAGGTCTAGAGATAAGGAGTATCTTCCCTATGATAATGCTGGAAAAAAGAAGCTTTATTAATACATAAAACGTATATCCTACAACCACCCACATAACACAAGAAGTGGTTATGTGCTTGGCACACTGCTGAGCCCTATAGATGGGCTGGGAGCAGGAGCTCACCCATTAGTGGGTAAAGAGGACAATGACATCAGCAAGGTCTTAAGGGATCAAAGAAACACCTCTATCAGACCCAGTATTTACCTTCACAATTCTGATTTTCGGGTATGTTTCCCTACTCTAGAATCACATCTCTGCTCTCCAAATGCCAGATGATTAAAGTGGCTGTTATTGAACACTAAGGACTGGCTTCATCTAGTCCCTGATAAACAGGATCTATGACTTAATATGGGACTACCTTCCTCAATGTGGAAACCTAGGAAAGGTTCATCAGCCTTCCTCAAAAAGTGTCCTGGCCACAGAAGTCTAGAAATGCTATGTAACTATAATCACACTCTTAAGGAATCACTGTGGAGACCGGATATTACAGACTCAGTTCAGTCCTACAGTTGATTTTTTTTTTTTTTAATTTTAAACAAATGTTTGCTAAATATGTTCTACCACTGAACTTATTTTTCCTCTAAATATCTACTATTCACAACAAAGATTAATGTATTCTAATGTAAGGTAATGTAATGCTAACACAGCCTTAAGCATCATGCAGAGAAAGTCACCATCAGAATAATTTGAGAGGTTACAAATGTGTCAATTCATCTTCCCAAGGACCTATGGGATATCTGAAGTCACTGTCCTTATTGTATTTAAGAAGTTCATCTGCCTTACTAATACCCACACTGCTCACTAGTTTTAAATTAAGTTAAAAACTCCCTAAAGCTGACTCTTACCTCTAATAAATAATTTAAAAAGTTTCCAAAACACATTCTTGAAACACAAACACCAACATTTGTCAAGAATATAAGGTGACTCATACCTAAAACTCTCAAAAAGTTCAGTCACACCTTCATGTTTCAAGGTAAATAAAAACTGGGCAACACCCTTCATATCAGAGCTAGTCTTACGATGTTATCAAAAGTCACAGTTTCTCCTCCATTTTCTTTCTTCTGGTATCGTAAGGCAGAGTTGCTAGTGTTTTCTGATTCATGCCAGGGTTATCACTTCTCCTGGTACATGTATAAGAGTAACATCTAACAACTGAACATTTTAGGGCTCCAATGTCTTTGCTTTTGCTAAAGCTTTTGGGTGAAAAGCTTCTGCTTAACATTTTTTCTCTTCCTTAAATGTTATGATAAAAACAATGAAAAACTGTATGGCTTCACGGCAGCTGTGCCCTTTTGCAAATGTTAGCAGAAAACAAAACCAAACAAGAGAAACTGTTATGCTTCTTGCAGAAAAACAGGATCAGGAGAACGTTTGACTACATGAAGAAAAATACTAAGAGAGAAAATCAAGACCCACTCAACAACTATCCACTATGTGAACCATTTATAACTCTTTTTTAGCCCAGTCTACTTTGTCCTGGCCACACGGAATTTGGCCTTCTCCCCTGGGAGAATAGACACCTTCTCTCAGCATCTGTTGGTACATCCGAGAAAAGCAAAGTTAATTTTGATATTGTCTGCCCACGAACAACAATCAGAAAATGTATAGCTCAGGAGTTGTCCCAAGGTTATTAAAGGATACCACCTTCAATATTGATTAAGAACTTTCCTAGGTCCGCAAAGATAACAAAGTTGACACACTGTTTTCTCCGCAGAAGTAAGAGAGATCCCAAACGTGGATCTGCACATCACCTGGTCCTGGCTGCAACCTCTTGAGGATCAGTTTTGTAAAAAGCTCTGATATCACCAAAGCAGTGACAAAGGGAAATACTGTTTCAAACATCTGTCCAAATATTTTTTAAATGATAAGGAGGACAAGTGTTTAATTTAATCCACTAAAAATAAGCGTGTCAACAATATCTATTTAAAACACAAGGTGTCACAGACACATTAAAAACAGGACCTAATGCTGTGTCTATTCATTGACAGCTAGAAAGAACAATGACGGAGCCACACTTCACTTGGTGCGGGTTCTCAGAATGCCTTGACTCTAGTTAAGAGAGGAGGTTCACTAACAGGGCAGCCTGACAGGTCAAATATGGAACATGTAGTAGACATGTGTGGGAAAGATCCACAGATCAGCTGACAGCAGAGAAGGGGCAGAAAGCCTGAAATTCCAGTCCCCAAATGCTCCAGGTTTCTAGTCCAAGAGATAAATTACCACTTCACTGTATTTATCAATGCACCTAGACTCTCGACTCATTTTTCCTAGGATAAAAAAATTAAAGACTTACTACCAAGATTAGGACCACAAACTGAATTTTAAAATTATGCAATATCGTAAGTGTTTTTCTTTTCTTAACCTCAACTCCCACAGGCGCAACCTAGATTTATAACAGGAATGCCTGAGAAAGTTCAACCACTGGGCACAGAACCACTACTGCCCCTATGCAGCTCAGGAAAAATGTCTGTATATCTGGAGTCACCTTAACCCTTAGCTTAAGCATGTCCCTCCAATTTGCTATGACAGCTCCATGGAGGGCACAGGGAAGAGTGTATTCCTTAAATTGCTGTAACTGCATTTCTGTTCCTATTAAACAACGGTTTCTGCAACTAGTGCCTATCCTGATACAGAAGTTAAGTCACAAATAGCCCTGTTAAATGATGTTAAAAAAAATTACTGCCAATATTCTTGATGTCAGGATCTCAGTTACAGCAACCTACACAACTCTGTTTATCAACTCTAGATAATAAAACCATTCTATCCACAGGCTCCCTGATTTTGTATTTGCCCTAAGTAGTCTTACATTCAATGACGTTTCATTATTTTTTAAGTGGATACGTGCTGTACTGTTCTCCCAGGCTTGTACGCGCGTTTTGGTTTTCTCAACTCTATTTTAAACGTTCTCATAAACATTTGTATTCTATGGAGCGTAGAAGTTACTCTGTAAAAAGGCTTTCAGGTTTTGTCATGAAAGCAGAGCTTGGCGAAGTCATCACCTTTCTGAGCCCTCTGTTTTCTCAGAGAAGCAAACTAGATTAAGCTCTTTTTGACCCTTCAACTCATGGAAATGGTTTTGCTTGAAAATGTGGTTGCCGAACACCTCCAGGTTCCAGCTCAAAACCCCTTTTGGAAAGCATGCTCTAACTAATCCCTACAGACTACCCTGCTCAGGGAGCCTTGCGATTGAGGAATTCAGTGGACAGGGACGGAATCCTCAACAGACTGGGCAAACCGCTCGGTCAGGAATGAAAACACTTGATGTGAAAAGGTAGCACGATGGAATGAAAAGCGCATCCAGCCTGAAACTGTAAAGTGCTACTCAAACGAAAGGTGATAGTGTTAATTTTGTAGATTAAACGCCTACCAAAGTTAGTGCTGGAAAAATCCCTAGCAGGAAGCACAGCTAACTTTAAAAGGGCTCTTGACTTCACTGGGCTCTCCCTTTCACCAACTCGATGCACCCTTGAACCGTAGAAAGGGGTAACATTTTGTGGCCCCGCGGGTTCCAAATACTTTGGACTCACAGACCAGGAGCTAGAATTTCCCCCCCAAAGATTTCCTACCACCCAGCGCTCCCATCCCCGAACAGGAATGAGATTTAAGGAACGAGATTAAGTGCTCCACTGGTCTTCCCACCTGGGCTAGGGGCAAACCCAAGCCCCACCTTCGCCCCCTTCTCACCAAGTTTTCTCTCCGCTACCTCCTGCCTCCAAATCCCACTACCGCAACCCCCCGCCCCGCGGTTGCAGACAACGGGCAGCCCCCCTCAGGCCGCCCCGGCCGCCCCCCTTCCCCTGGCCCCCATCGGCCGGCGGCTCCGCCCAGCCCGGCCCCGCGCACCTTGCTCTTCACCTCCATGGTGCCCAGGCAGCCGCTGCCCGCTCCGTGCCGGTGACTGCGGTTCATGCTGAGGCCGGGCCCCGCGGCGGCCTCCTCCGGCCGGGCCGCCCCTCGGGAGCGCAGGGAGCGAGTGCGCGGCCGGCGGGCTGGGGACGCGGCTGCGGCCCGGGCGCTTCC